ATCCGCCCGAACCTTTGCGAGCCGGTGCAGCGGCGTCCGTATAGTGCGTGGAGGTACGGACGCCCCGGAATTCGTCGGCGCGGGGGCGCGGGGTGCGGTTCTGTGGCCCCGCGCGCCCCCCGCACGCACATGTTCGGACATGGCACGCAGGTACCTCCGCCCCCGGTGCACACAGCGTGAGGGGCTGACGCGCCGTGCCGCGCTGCACATCGTAGTCGTGAGTTCGACCGCGTCGGGGACGATGCCGGGGCGGGAGGGCCGATTCTCTGCGCGGGGCATGCGGTCCCGGACATGGGCAAAACGTCCGACCCCGTCAGATCCGCTCCAAACTTGGCGGTACGACGCAGCGCGGTCCGCGCAGTGCGTCGGGGCATGGACGCCGTGGTCGTCGACGATGGCGGGGCGCAGTGCGCGATTCTGTGTTCGCGCGAACGCACACATGCAGGCATAGCGCGCGGGAACCTGTGTGCCCCGCGCGACTGTGTGGCTTCCGTGATGCGCAGCAGAGCTCTGCACATTGCAGTTGCTGTTTCGACGTCTCCCGTTGCGGCGTTGAGGCGGGAGGGACGATACACTGTGCGCGGGGGTGGCAGGCGCCGAGGGCGCGGCCATGGGCGAAAGGGCCGACCCCTCCGGAATCGCGCGAAAACGGGTTGAGAGGGCGCGGGGATGTCGATATGGGGTGTGTGTAGACGGCCGCGGCGGCGGGAGCGGAGCGGGGCGTGCGCCGTGCGTTCTTGTGTTTCGTCCACTTACCGGCATATGGACTCGTGCCCAACAATGATACATGGTTCTGCTCCTCTCAGAGCGCGCGGACGGTGCGCACACGACGCACTGCGGCTTGTGGGTGCCCGTGGTTGTAATTTTGGAGGCTCTTGCAGCGGTGGGCGGGCCGAAGGCTCGATGTTCTGTGCGAGTACGGGTGGAACCACCAGGATGAGTGACGACGGCAGAATTCAAATCGTTTCCACGCGCCCAGAAACGATGCGGGAGCGTACACAGGGTTTACTGCGACGTATATGTAAGATTTCGTGCACGCAGGATGCGAGGGCGTTGCGCGACGCGCGGATTTGTCGGATTTCGAGCGATCTGCACATGAAATGCACGAAACTGACGCAGATTTTTTCTTCGCGCAGGGCTTCGTGAACTTCACAGTTTGTATCTCCTGGCCCAAGATTGCGTTGATTTATGTTGGAACAGGCCTACGATGCGATGCCGAGACAGGGCGGATGGTTTTTGTTTCGGCCCTACTACCGGCATGGCGTTCTTGCAGTTCGCCTTCCGCCATCGCAAAGCGTCGAGCGCGCGGATAAACACATACAATGCTGCACGGTATGTATACTCATCAATTCTGTACACGTCCGCGCGTGTACACGCTTTCGGGGACGGGCTAACATGGTTACTCTCGCAGATTCTGGCCATACTGCCCCGGAATGCTTTCCCGGCGGCGAAGCTGCAAAGACTGCGCCGAATGCGTCCGCCCTGACGACAAGCAAGACGTCGTGCATGCATGTGCACTCGTAGCGAGACGTCTCCTCGCCGTCTCGCTGAGTATGCCGTGGCTGCGAGCGATTGTGCCACGGATTCGACGTCGGTATGTTCACTTTGCACGTCTGCGGTGACATGAATCCTGACGCCCATGGGTTTGCGTCGGTCAGTGTACTCTTCGTGCTCTTGCGTACACGTACGCGAACGCGTTGCGTTGCTAGTACTGTACCGCCGTGCGCCGCAGGCCGCAGGGGGGCACACATTGGCTCCCCCGCGTTCGTGGACGGCGCGCCCCCGACACGGACGACTCCAAAGC